TTTTTCTGTTTTACTCATTGTTATGTTATCTGTTAGTGTTAGTATGTTGCAGGGGCATTTTCGGTATAATTGTCGTTTTCATGTTTATTATATATTTGTGTTCCATCTTATTATATAAACTTTTATTCAATCTAAAACATTATTTCATATGAATTATTTGTTTTTGTTTGTATTCCATTTTATTATAAAATGAATTATTCAATTTAAAAATTTATGAGTACATTAAGTCAGTTGTTATTGTCATGTGTTGATTTATAATTTTTCTGTTTTACTTATTGGTTAGGATGTTCTGTACATTTTAAAAGGTTGCTAATTTTCCTTACAATTCTATAATGATTAAATTTATTGCAGAAAATGGAAATAGGAAATAAGGTTTACCTAAATAACATTGACCAGATAGATGAAAAATCGCATATCAAGGTTCGGGTGCTTAAAATTTGGAACTTTGTCAGAAATAATAAAGTTTGTTCCATTGAAATGATCATCATGGATGAGGAGGTTTGTTGTATTTGATATATTTTTTATTCATCATTCAATATTAGACATGTTTCATGAACATAATAATTTTTAATTTTTTTTTAAACAGGGTACACAATACCAAGCTCGTGTCTTCAATCAGAATTTCTCCAGATTTTGTCATCTTTTAAAGGAAGATGAAAGTTATATAGTTATAAAACCCAATATGGCTGCTGTTACTAATGATTTTAGTTATACAGGTCATAAACAGACCTTAACTTTGGATTGGAAAAGCATCCTAAAAAAATGTGATGATTTCTCGGGTCCGGTCAATGGATTTATGTTTGTTGACTTTAATTCTATCATAGAACAAACATGCCCAAAAGACACATTCTTTGGTTAGTCATAAAATATTAATAAAATCATTTTTTATCATTTGTTTTTTTGGTTATACATTTTATTATTTAAATATTACGAATTTAATCCTAAACTTTTATTTTTTTGTGGTATCTGTTGTGTAGATGTTATTGGACATATCGTGTCATTTAGGCCTCTTGAAACTTCAAATCCAGTACCATCCAAGCATTATATAAAAGTCACTCTTAGCAACCTAGAGTGAGATTATATTGTATTATTTATTTATTATTTATTATCTTTAATTAATCACAAATTAATATTAATATACTATTTTATGGTTTATTTAGTTCTGTACATCTGAAGGTTACTATTTTTGGAAGTCAAGCATATCAAATTTCAGAATACCTAAAAAATAACCCGACTGTTAATTTTGTTGTTATCGTGATGCAGTTTTTGAAGCTAAACATTTGGAATGGTTTGTATTCAGTCTTTATATATAGATGTTTATAATTACTGTTTTTATATAAATTTTAATAATTGGATATACATTTTTTACAGGTCTTGGTGAAGCTAAAAGTCATTTTGAAGTAACGAAATTGTTCATAAATTCTGACATTTATGAAATAAATGAGTTTAAAAATAAGTTAGTTTCCAATTGTTTTTTATTTTTTTATAATGTATTTTAACTTAAAAAAAAACACAAAACCTAATATTCATGAATCAAAATTAAACATTACAGGTTGAAATGTCATGACAATTTCGGTATAACTGAAAAAAGCATAACTACACTTCAAAGCTACTCTTCTTCATATACAGATGACTTTAAGGGTAATTTTCCATTAAAAACAATCTGTGAGATCACCGAACCAATTAAGGTATATTGCATTATTTTATATGTTTTACATTTTATTTTTGCATAATTTATTTTAATAATTTTTACATTTGATATGATACAGGAAATGAAGTTTTTATTAGTTGCTTCCATTGTTAATATAAGGCAGAATCTACCATGGTATTATGAAGCATGCAAAAAATGTGGAAAAAAATTATCCCTGTTCCCAAAACCAATCATTCGTATACCAACCCTGAGGGAATTTCAGAAACTATGGTTGTCGAGTGTACAAATGCACAATGCAAAAAATCTGAATTTCAGTCAGTTATAAAGTATAGACATATTTATTTCTATTAATTTTGTCAATCTTAAAACAACACTAACAATGACATAATTATTTTTTGTTTTAGGTATATAATTCCAATTAACGTACAAGGTTGTACTGGAACCATTGGATTGACTCTTTTTGATAGGGAAGCAAGGAGGTTGTTAAATATAAGTGTCTACGAGTTGAAAAAGATACATTATGCGGTATATTATTCATACCTTTAAAATCAGAAAACATTTACTTAATTTTTTTAATTTATTAAAATATATCTTACAGGCCGGAGACAGTGATGCCCTATTTCCAATGCAACTTAACGTGTTGAAAAACTGCAAGTTTGGTTTTGTTGTAGATATTACAGAATACAATGTCAACAACTATAATAACATCTACACAGTTCTCAGAGTTACAAAAGATATGTCCATTGTTTGTGAATTGGAAAGTAAAATAGAACTTATGGTATGTAATTTTTTATTGTTGAAAATTTACAATTCTTTAATGTTAAAGTACATAACGATTAACATATTTCCATTTTATTTTTTAGAGTATTCAATCTGTCTCCTTAAATCAAGTTGCTTTGGAATCCGATGATGTTGTACAGCCTGTTCAAAAGATTTTTCATTTTATTTTATAAACTTTTAATTATATTAGTTATTTTTTTTAGGAATCAAACATTTTTTTTTTAAATTAGGATGTGATCTCACAAACAGACGAAAGTTTTACACCCTCAACAGTTGATAAGTCAACCGCAACAAGTCCTTGCAAAATATCAGGTGATTTGAAGTGCAACCTCCAAGAAATTTATGATGTTGATTCTGGATATGATTTAAGTTCAACTAAGGCTAAAAGAAAGTCAACCGCAGAGGAAACTCCACTCTTGATTCCAAAAATTGAAAAGTGAGTTTCTATCGGTTATAAGACACATTTAATATATTTTGATCATTTGTTTTGGTTATAAAGATATTTTAATTGCTTGGTATGATTTTTATTTTGGGGTATTTAGGATGTCAAATATTATTGGTTTTGAATATTTTTGGATACTTTTATTGTTTTAAATTGGACAAGTTAGTTGATTTTGGTTATAACTCAAATAAAATATATTGCCCCTAACTTGATAAGTATTTCATATATCGCAATTAACAATTAAGACAAATCAATCAATCAATCAATTTGTATAATAAAAATGCGAAATTCTTAGCTTTCTTCCCCAATTCGCATTCTACTGTAAAATTCGCATTCTTCATTCATCCTCTTTCTTCGCATGTTCCAGTCATTTTTTTTTTAGTTCATTCGCATTTGAGTTGTTTGTCTCACCAAATGCGAAATTAATATTAACCATAATCACCTTCGCATCTTTAACCCCAATCCATACAACCTCATATGCGAAACCCAATTTTGATTTGTATTACCAAATGCGAACATTTTTGCTTTTACACGTGAACTGCATTTGACTCCAATATTGAACAAATCAAATTTCACAGTCCTTCTTGACTTCGCATTTTTCTTCACGAATCGTCCCTCAATCAATAACCCAATTAACCCAATTGCGAATCCAAAATCAAAACTTATCTGTTTTCATATGCGAACCCAACTGATTGGCTTTTCAAAATCAAATTCGCAACTCCAAATCGTTCGATTATTCGCCCCAATTCCAAAATCAAATAACAGATCCTTCGTATGATTCATTTAATAACCAAGGCTTCGTTCCAGAAAACATCGAATTTAACAGTTATTCGTTCCCACAATCTTTAACCTCCGTTTAAAATCGATCCCTGTATACAAACCCAATAACCAATCGAACACATACCATTCGAAAACAATAATCATTACACCCTTCAACAGATTTGACATCGCATTTCAAAACAATCGATCTTACTTCATCTGCTTGATATATCGCAATTAACAATTAAGATAAATCAATCAATCAATCAATTTGTATAATAAAAATATTGCTATATATGTAAAGACCATATTGCCCCTAACTTGATAAGTATTTGATATATCGCAGTTAACAATTAAGACAGATAAATAAATCAATCAATTTGTATAATAAAAATTCGAAATTCTTATCTTTCTTCCCAAATTCGCATTCTACTGTAAAATTCACATTCTTCATTCACCCTCTTTCTTCGCATGTTCCAGTCATTTTTTTTAGTTCATTCGCATTTGAGTTGTTTGTCTCACCAAATACGAAATGAATATTAACCATAATCACCTTCGCATCTTTAACCCCAATCCATACAACCTCATATGCGAAACCCAATTTTGATTTGTATTACCAAATGCGAACATTTTTGCTTTTACACGTGAACTGCATTTGACTCCAATATTGAACAAATCACATTTCACAGTCCTTCTTGACTTCGCATTTTTCTTCACGAATCTGTTCAAAAGGTTTTTCATTTTATTTTATAAACTTTTAATTATATTTGCTTGTAAACTTTTTTTTAAATTTTTTCTTAATATTTTAAATTTTTGGCCGATATTGCATATGTGGTTATTATTGTTCAAATGTTAAAACTATCTTGAGCTTGATACTTTAATACTTTTACAGGTGAAATTATATTGTGATTGAGGGTGCTTAATTTGTACTTTATCTAATTTGTATTAAAAAAAAATGAAAACTTTATTGGTATTCTCCTAGCAAAAAATCTTCATTCCTAATTAAATACTTCCCATTTAGTTAGTAATTAAATAATTACCAATAAAAAAAATTATTTAAATATTCAATATTACAATTTATAAGTTATCAGAATTATTGATATAATATTTTATTAAATAATTAATTTTTAAATTCAATTCAAAAACAGCACCCGTGGGTTCATGGGTTTTAACCTAGTATATATATATATATATATATATATATATATATATATATATATATATATATATATATATATATATATATATATATATATATTCGGCGGTGAGGGGAAGCAGTGAGATGCACGACACAAACCGCAACTATCTTCGACATAAGACTCTGAGAAAGCCGGAGGGGCTAAGGATTTGATCTGAGCAACGACTTCAATGATATATACGTCTGGCAATATAGATCTAATTTTGAGAGTATTGGTCCTGTGGTTCATCCTCCTTCTCGATCAATTCACAGATACCCAATAAACTTAATCAACCAATTATGTCCCTCAATATGAAAACTCTTACTCAGGCCTTCGCGAAAACAGCCGCGGTGATTGAAAAGACCGTACAGGACGTCACCGGACCCAAAGCCCTCCAGGACTATGAGCTCCTTGACCAGATCGGCTCCGCTGGACCAGGCCTCGCTTGGAAGCTATACTCCGCCAAGGCTCGTGGCGGTTCCACTCTCCTTTCTCACCAGTATCCTACAGTCTGCGTTTGGGTTCTTGACAAACGCGCTTTATCGGAGGCTCGGGTACGCGTGGGGCTTTCCAGAGCAGCCGAAGACTCCTTCTTCGAGATCATCAGAGCTGATGCGTCCAGATTAGTTAGATTGAGGCACCCAGGAGTGGTTCATGTGATCCAAGCCCTAGACGAGAACAAAAATGCCATGGCAATGGTTACTGAGCCTTTATTTGCTTCTGTAGCCAACGCCCTTGGTATATTGGATAACATATCCAAAGTGCCAAAGGAACTTCAAGGGATGGTAGGTATTTCAAAATAAATTCCTCTTTCCTTTTCAGCCTGCATCATAGTGTTGCAGTTTATGTTTCAGTGGAACAATTAAAGTTTCCATCTAATTTTTGGCACTGCCTAATATCATGCTTCTTAGTAGTGCATATGAGTATGGTAGCTGGAGATCCCTTGCAGATTATCGTAGGATATTCTTGGACTCTAAAATTTTAAAATTTATGGTTTTAATACATGATAGATTCAACTTAACTTGTACTAAAGAGCTTGTAGTGTTATGCAATATTGAAGAAGATACATCATACATGTAACTTAATTATGCATTATACATGATAATAGTCTACGAGGACATCTGTGTACTCCCGTTGAATTACGAATTTGATCTAGTAGTATGTTCGCCATTAGTTCGGATTCCATGTTGTGGTATGAGAATAGGCTACGTTGACAACTTGGTGAAAATGATGCATAATCAATGTTATGTTCTTTATTATGACATCTAGACTACTTATCTGAATCGTGATCTATGGTAATGAGGTATAGCTGTTGACTAAGACTTTAGTTGAGCATATAATTGCTTCTGGAAACAAAATGTCCTTTTTACCGATGTGTATTTAATTCTTTATGGCAACTCTACTACTATAATTACTTTCTTGGCCACATTGCCTTGTAAAATAAGGCCTCTAGACAATTCTTTTTTATTCCCAATTACTTATTTTAAAATACTTCACTTTGGATCTTAATCTGTTAAGACATATTTATCTTATATCTAGGAAAAACAAGAACCATTTTCTCTCTCCTGTTATGACAGATACCTGATCTAGGGTAGGGTGGACTGCCCGTCTGTACATAATGCTGCTTTGAATGCTGTCTTTAACCTTGTTGAAAACATTTAAAAATATGGATAATTAATTATTTGATTATACTTTCTACACGTTGCTGAAAAGTTTGTTCTTTCTTCTGTAGGAAATGGGTTTGTTGGAGGTAAAGCATGGTTTACTTCAGGTAGCAGAATGTTTGGACTTTCTTCACAATAATGCCTGCCTCATTCATCGTGCCATATCCCCTGAGGTATACACAACCTTATATCAATGACATCTGTGCTTGGTAGTCGCATACATTTCCTGAAAAGACTCCACCGAAACAGACTGTTTTTTTCTTTGTTTTGTGTGATACAACTATTTCAATATATCTGTGCAAGTGACTTTGCAAGGATTCTGAACTCCTAGAGTCTAAATCTTTGATGGGTATTTTTTGAAATAACTATTCTTGAACCCAAGGAAGGTATAGTGAACAGAAAGATAACCTGTACATGATCAGATGATATTTTAGCCTATTTGGCGCTGGAAGAGTTACGACCTTTTTGCTACTAGATAAAATAATACAAAACATAAGGAACCAATAATAATTCTGGATAAGGCAGCGGAGACATTCATGCAGCTAGATAATGTGTCCTATTGTCCCCCAAATTCCTGATTGTTGCTGCCTTCTACTGATGCTGTGCGTATACTATTATATTTTCTGCAAAATATATTTAAGTCAAAAAACTCAAGCAAGTAATGTTCATGTATTTGATCAATTGGGATTGTATGTATACTCTTAATACCATGCCAAAGCTGGAATATGAGCCAAGAAATTGCTAATACGAGTTAGGGTCTGCATAGGATTGATTATCTTTTGAGCATTGTTACACCTACTTCATCCTCCTCTGCCTGGATTTTCCCTCAAGTCATCAAGGTAGATATCTTCCAAGTAGTGCACAAGACATTCATGTTGCCATTTATTTATTAAATGATCTAGATAGGACATCAACTCTTAGCATCAACCTGCTCTTCCTCTTTGAATGGAATCTTTCATTTTTTTAAGCGCAACGATGCTATCACTGCCGATTCAAAAATCGCCTTCTTGCGGCTTTGTTTGTCTTGGCTTTATGTGCAGCATAACAACACTAACCTTCTTAATTTGTTCGTCACTTGTTTATGCAACTGCTTAATCTCCTTAGCTTGTCTGGATGTGATTTGAACTTTAAATGGGAGAAACAAATTAATGGGTGTGAGAGAATTCAATCCATAATTGACTTAAAATGGTGACCATTTCCCTAAAACATAAATACATAATCATGAGCTTTGTTGTATGCATTAAATCCCTTTTTCTCAATCTATTAACACGGGGAAGCCTTAAATCCCAACTTTTTAATGTCTTCTTTACAAAAAGGTAGAGAGAATGTGGTTAGTATGAGGGTGGAAGGCTGCAATATATTTGTGTTAAGACCTCCATACATTTCAGGACTATTATGAACACAATATTTTGATTCAGTGAAGAACTTAATCATTACCATCATGTGTCAATTTCCATGTATATTCTATATCAACGAATATTGCTATTATTGTGGTAATAATATTGAATTAAAGTTAATGTGAATATGTGATGTGTGGTTGATATTGATTTCTGTGAGGATGTCTAGTGCATCCTGTGTTGAAATTGATAGTTTTTAACTTTCACTTTGCTCAACTCAAGCATGTTTAGATAAGATGTATAATGATATAGGTTTGTTTGAACTCTACAAACTATTTGCTTGATGTTGCTAATGTGCTATTTACATAGTTTCCTTAGCAAACAAATTATCATATTTTGTTTTTCGTTTAGATTCTCATATATCATCAGTGATTAATGATAGAAGTAAACTATACGACTTCTAATCTCACATGGAGGGACAAACATTTGAGTGTTGTTACACATATTTGATGCACAACATTTGCAGCATATCATCTGACCATGTTTCTTGATTGGATATCTTAGACTGTGCTCATCAACTCAAGTGGAGCTTGGAAGCTTGGTGGATTCAGTTTTTCAATATCAGCAGACCTTTCATCTACAGATCCATCTACTATGCAGCCCTTCCATTATGCGGTGAGTCATAGATTTGATAGGAACTGTAAAACTTGTCAATTAAATTCTACTATCACTCTTATCAGATTTGCAAATGTTTAGAATTATGTTTCAAATGACTCTGTTTATGTTTATCCATCAGGAATATGATGTTGAAGATTCAGTACTGCCTCTTCAACCATCACTGAACTACACTGCTCCAGAACTAGTCAGGCCTAAGGCACCTTCATTCGGATGCTCTTCTGATATTTTTAGCTTTGGATGCCTCGCTTACCATTTGATTGCTAAAAAGCCTTTATTCGACTGCCACAATAACGTGAAAATGGTATTACTCTGACTCATACTTATTTATTTTCATAGTATCTTTCAATGTATCTAGTAGCAACCCCCTCCCAACCACACAAACCAGAAGAAAAAAGAATTTATGCCTTCCATAATACAAGCTGTCCATTTTTGTTTCTTTCATGCAGTACATGAATAATCTGACATACTTATCCAGCGAAGCCTTTTCATCCATTCCCCACGAACTAGTTACTGACTTGAAAAGAATGCTTTCAGCAAACGAGGCTCTAAGACCCTCAGCTTTGGATTTTACAGGTATGGTTTCCAAACATTATGTAAAACTATAAATTTATATTGTTGTCAAATGTGAGTCAAGCTAGTGCAACAACACACCTGACTACCTGAGGCTAGATGTAATCACCCAAGCGAAATGAGGCAAAGTATCTTAAAACATGACAAATTATACGAGGTTTCACATTTTAAAATAGCATGTTCATGTATGTCCACAAACTCATAATAAGCATGTAGGATAATCACTAAACTCACAACATCATACTAGAAATTCAAACCATTTGGATCAAGTTCCAGCAACTCCCTCAGGCTCCACCATTTATGCACACAAGAGTTTTACTAAGGAAGAAGAAGGAGATACCTTGATTCAAGATCTTCAAATGCGACTTTGGGAGCTCTCAAATGAAGTGGGGACTGAAATGAGAGATGTTGGTTTAACAGTTACCTTGTATCTCACTTGTTATGTCTGGCCGACCTAGTTACACGATGGTGTAACTCATTAAATGATCATGTAATGCTCAAATGTGCCCAAAATAGCATCATACTTCATAAAAATCCGGTTTTTATGACTTTGGCATACTTACACGATCGTGTAATCCTCCTTGGTCCAGTATTAGCATTCTACTTTTCTTTTGCATGCTTGTTACTTCGTGAGACTTACACAATTGTGTAAGGCCTTTGCATGATCATATAATCCTTTGGTGCATTTTTGGGCAATGTGCTTTACACTGTATCCAATCCTCTATTTCTACGACCTATAACTTCCTCATATGAACTTGGATTTCGATGGATTTTGATAAGAATCTTAAAACAATAATGAAGAACAGGAATTGAATGCTTGATTACTATGAACTTCAAATGAAAATAACAAAATAACAAATTAAAGAAGTTAATCAAATGATTATCCTTCCCGATTTAGTTCTAAATCAGAGAGGGTCTAAAAAGATACCTCCTACCCAAGTTAATGCGGATGACTATTAACTCCAAATGCAAAAGACCGAATACCCAACTATTCCTATCACTACTCTATTTATCCTATTCTTTAGATAGTTCTAAATAGGGTGCAAAATAGATAATAGTAATAGATATTACAATCAAGTCCCCCATGTGTACCAATATATTTATATAAGACCCATACCACATTCTCTATAAATATTGCCAGTCCGCCATCTTGAAGAAGAGGCTTGTTCTCAAGTCGGGATCTAGGAAATTGATTTTATGGTTGCAATGCATTTTCATATGTTTCTTCTTTGATTGAACCTTGCTTTCATGAAATTGATTTAGGGAGGAGATTTTCATCATGTTCTCATACCGAAGAACCAACTCTTTGATGTCATCTTCTTCGATACTTCCAAATGGTACCATAGTATCCCCGTACTTTGCTGCCATTCTTACAAATTTTGGTTGATTAGGCCCAAATAACTTGTATTCCTCACCCTTGCGATGAAGAGCCTCACGTGTACCATTAGGGTAGAGCGATGCAAGAGGTTTTGATGAAAACAATTTGAAGAGGGTGTGATAACCAGCTACCCAAACAGGTCCTTCATCTCCTTCTGGAATCCCACCAGGGCCTCTCATTATTCTTCCTTTTCTAAAGTTGAAAATATCATGATGAACATAAATCTAGGATGTTTGTTTGGTCGAGTCTCGCATTCCTTGATCAACTTTTGGATCTCCCCATCACCGTTTGCTTTTTCAGTTAATTGTGCCCCTATACAAGATATTCTAACTGTATGTCCCCTGTAGCCATAACCATAACGGTTGTAGTACAAGATATTCTAATGCATGTCCCCTGCAGCCATAACCAAAACGGTTGTGACCCTTCGTTCCACCTATATCAAAGATGTCCTTGTATTCCTACTATAAGTCCCGACACACTATGCCTTTGTGTCAGCATTAGACAATTATCATATGCCTCGATTTGTATCTAGGCTCATCCAGGTTGGCTTGCGGCAGTGAATGAAGAAATATTTGCCCAAAGCTAATGGGTATTCTCTTTTTGGCTCCCTACGACTTAAGGCCATACTTGTTGCCAAAGGATACTCCAAGATTTATGGGGAAGGTTATAATGAGACGTTAAGCTCTGTTGCCGAAAGGACATCTAATGACGTTTGTACGTCTCATTATTGCACTAGCTGTTATCTGTTATTGGCCACTCCTTTAACTTGATATCAAGAACGCGTTTTTCTATACTGTTCTTGAGGAGGAGGTTTATATGTAACAACCACCTGGTTTTATAGTGGGGAGGAGTCACCCAAAGTATATTGTCTTGTGCTCTCTCTCATGGCCATAAACAAGCTCCCAGAATCCGGTTTTCTCAATTTTCACATGTTGCGGACAAGTTTGGAAGGAAAAGGAGTGAGTGTGATTACTTTCGACATCGACATGGTAAAATGATCATTTTGGTATTCTATGTTAATGACATTGTTATCACCAATGATGATCACAAAGGAATTGTGGCTTATAAGACCTTCATTTAAAAGGAATTTCAGATAAAAGATCACGGAAACCTAAAGTACTTTTTTCTGTATCTAGGTTGCTCGATCTACTTATGGATTCCTCCTTTGTCAGGGAAAATATATCCTTGATATCCTTGTTGAGACCGACATGCTACACATCTACGATGCTGACTTTCCAATGATCCCAAATATTAAGTTGTATCCGGAAGTTGGAGAACCATTGGACGACCTAGGAAGATACAAAAGATTAGCGGCGTAAATTTAATTATCTTACTGTCATGAGATCGGATATTGCATTCTCCTTTGGTGTGGTTAGTTAGTTGTTGTCTTCACCGCACACAAGTCATAGGGATGTAGTGCTACATATTCTAAGGTACCTAAAAGGTGCTTTTTTTTTTTTGCCAGGGCTTCTCTACACAAATCGTGGTCGCACTTAGATAGGCGGATACTGAGATGCAAGTCATGCTTTGTGCCCTTACAGTCAAAGGTCAACCATAGGTTATTGCAACCTATTTAGTGGAAATCTAGTATCTTGAAAATGTAAGAAACATATATAGTTCCTTATCTAGTGCATAATCAAAATATCGAGCTACGCCCTGAACAATGTGAGTTGGCATGGATTCTTCATCTAGCCCGAGAATTAGGAAATAACACAAGTGAACTAATGGATATGTATTATGACAATGAAGTTGTCTCTTACATATCCAAGAACCAGATCTTTCTTGAACGAACTAAGCAAATTAAAGTGAACTATCAATGTCACTTTGTTTCGGAAAAGGTAGTTGGGACATCTTGGGAACCACCAACCTCTTATTTAGTGTGCGTCTCATGGGCATGTGTAATATTTATGCTCCAACGTGAGGAGTGTTAAAACAGACTAGTGATGTCAAAAAGTTGATATCACTTGTGTATGTTGATGATATGGTCATCACTAGGGATGATATTCAAGAGTTTGATAACTTTGAAGAAAAAATTGCATTCCATGTTTTGAAGGTTAAGGATCTTGGAAAGCTACAATATTTCCTTGGAATGGAGATTGCTCCACTCATGCAATGAGTATTTGTGTTTCAACAAAGATATGTTCTAGATCTTCTGAAAGAAACATGAAAACTTGGATGTAAATCGATACTTCTCTGCAACGAAATTAGACATCTAAAAGTAGTGATAATGAAGTTCCAGTTTATTGAGTGTAATGTTTCCAAGTTGGGATTGTGGGACATATATTTGTCAACTTGAGGAGGAATGTTGGAATGGAATTTTAAACTGTAATGAATTTGCTTTGCACACAAAATAACACTCAAGATTACTGTTCTATTAACTTCTCTGATAAGAAACAAGGCTGGATAAGCAAGAAAGACAACAAGAAAAGCAAGAAAATAAATAGGCAGACACTGCATCACTTTTGTCCTTTATTCCCATTTTGCCTCTGCTCCTCTACCAATCCTATAATGTTTGTGTGACTGGTAGTGGTCCCTTTTTTTCTTGGAATCTTTTTTGATTTCTGCCTTTAGTATGTGAATTTCGGTGGTGGGTGTACCACATTACCCCTTAGTATGACCTTGTCCTTAAGGTCAAAGTCAGGAAATCTGTCTTGTATAGTTCTTAATTTTGAAATCCTCTAAAGTGGATTCAAACTTTGGAACTCCCTTCCACTTAATCAATACTTCTGTCCTTTGGCCAGGCTCCTCATGGGTTTGCACTCCCTTCACTGTTTCATTTCAGGTTCCCATGTCACTCTCATTTCTTCAAATAAGTGTGCTGGTAATTCTGGATGGGCTGTCTGGTTGCCTATTTAAATTAAGATATGAAAAACCAGGTGGATCTTTGCACCTTTTGGGAGCTGCAACTTGTATGCCACCGATCCAATCTTCTGCAGAATCAGGCAGGGACCATAGAAGTGTGCAACCAATTTTTGAAATGGTTTGTTTGTTACTGATTTTTGCCTGTAAGGCTGTAATTTAAGATAAATCAAGTCTCCTTCTGCAAAGGATACATCTTTTCGAAATCTATTAGCTCCTTTTTTCATTCTTTGTTGTGCTTGCAATAGGTAACCCTCAAGATCATCTAAAATGGCATCCTTCTCCACGAGCCGTTCTTTTACTGCTGAAACACCTGTTTGCCCTTGCTCTACTTGAATCACACGTGGAGGATCCTTACCATACAAGGATTTGAAGGGAGTGATTTTACTGTTGGTGTGATAGGAAATATTGTGACTGTTGGTGTGATAGGAAGTATTACGATGAATGAAACATCGTAAGTACATCTCTACTAATTTGTCGACAATCTTTGTTTGACCATCCGTTTGAAGTGCGAGACAGAGCGAACGCCTGCCATCGCCGTTCCCCTCACACGTGGAGGATCCTTACCATACAGAGCTTTGAAGGAAGTGATTTTACTGTTGCTGTGATAGGAAGTATTGTGACTGTTGGTGTGATAGGAAGTATTATGATGAATGAAACATTGTAAGTACATCTCTACTAATTTGTCGACAATCTTTATTTGACCATCCGTTTGAAGTGTGAGACAGAGCGAACGCCCGCCATCGCCATTCCCCTCACACGTGGAGGATCCTTACCATACAGGGCTTTGAAGGGAGTGATTTTATTGTTGCTGTGATAGGAAGTATTGTGACTGTTGGTGTGATAGGAAGTATTACGATGAATGAAACATCGTAAGTACATCTCTACTAATTTGTCGACAATCTCTGCTTGACCATCCGTTTTTGGATGGTAGGCAGTGCTTCTAAGTAAATTTGTCCCTTGGAGTCTAAACATCTCTCTCCAAAATAATCTCATAAGCACCTTATCTCAATCGGATACTATTGAGGACGGGTATCCATGAAGGCGAACCGCTTGTTTGATGAGTATGCTAGCTATGGTTACTGTTATGAACGAATGCTTAATAGCAATTAAGTGGGAGGATTTTGTAAGGCGATCCGCTACCACTAAAATAACATTATATCCATGTGAGTTAGGGAGTCCTATGAAATCCATAGATATCTCATCCCAAACTTGATCTGGTATTGGTAGGGGTTGTAAAAGACCTGCTGGGTGGGTGGATATCGCTTTCTGAGTTTGACAAACACTGCATGCCTGAACATATTTATGAACTTCTTTCCTGATGCCCACCCACAACCATTCAGATGCTATCCTTTGTTAAGTTCTGAGTTCACTCACGCGTCTACCTATCACTGAATCATGGAACTCCTTCAATAACTTGGGAATTAATTCAGATTTTTGTGGAATGACCATCCTGCCCTTGTAAATCAGTCTTTCCCTATTCATCATGTACCCCATGTGGTGTTTTCCTCCGCCTCTTAAGTCCTTTATCACTTGCTGAATAAAGGAATCTGTAGTTATTTCTTAATCCAAGTCTTAACTGAATAGACCAGGAGGAAGTGAGTGCACAATGCAGTTGTTGGGGTGAATTCACGAGAGAGAGAGAGAGAGAGAGCATTTGCCACTTTGTTAAGAGCTCCTGGTTTGTATTGTATTTCAAAGTCAAACCCCAAGAGCTTATACCATGGTTGCAAATAACGTAAGGCGTGACTTGGCGACATAGACAAACCTGAAGCCTCAAGCCTTGGCGTTTTTGAAGGCATGACAAGGAGGCAAAATTTTAATATATTTTATAATTATATATATAGCCATATATTTTTACTATCATCCAATTATATAAACAAGCCATATATTAACAAAAACTTAATGTTTTCACATGTCGATATAGTCACTGATTTACAATCATACTAAAAGCTTACAAAAATATCATCTTTCAAAAAGTCGATGAACATTACAAAAGCATGTGATATCCTTAGATCAAATCCAAGGAGGAACAAAAACCCCTTTGTAGCCATGGAGGTTCACCCGTGATGACTCTCGGTTACTCGTAAAGCATGTCGGAACCTCGGCTCCACAGGAGAAAAAAAATTGGGTTACACTTTTTCGCGTCTTACCACGTTATTTGGGAGCCACGCTTTACATAGCTGCCTAGGTCGTTTTCGGGACGTCTACACCACGCCTTGATGCCATGGCCCACCATGGCGTGTTATTTAGAACCCTGGCTTATACATCCATTTTTGGTATTCGCCATGCGGGCCCCACTTCGCCTTGTTCCATAAGTATTTTAGGCTACGTTGATCCGTGCTGATTAAGAAATATCTTCCCATAAGGTAATGCCTCCATTTCTTCACCGTCACACAATAGCCATTAACTCTTTTTCATACACAGGCTTCATTCTATTTTTATTCCTAATACTTGGCTATAATACACAATCGGATGGTTGTCTTGTAACAAGACAGCCCCAAGGCCTGCCCCGGAAGCATTAGTTTCAACCACAAACAACTTGGAGAAGTCGGGCATAGCTAAGATGGGCGCATGAGTCAAGGCATTCTTGAGTGTGTTAAATTCCTCAGTCGCTTGCGTTGACCACCCAAAACAGTCCCTTCGCAACTGATTTGTCAAAGGAGCTGCAATGCTAGCATAACCTGCTATGAATTTTCTATAATATCCTGCGCGTCCCAAAAATCCTCTTAATTTTAGTATGGTTTTAGGAGTAGGCCATATTCTTATAGCCGTCACCTTTTCCTGATCAACATATACACCTTCTATTGATATCATGTGTCCCAAATATGCAATCTGTGATTTTCCTCATACGTATTTATTTGGATTTGCATACAACTCACGTTGATGCTGTGTCTCCTCATCACGGCTATATATTAGGATGTCGTCGAAGAACACAAACACAAATTTACGAAGGTGGGGATGAAAAACCTCGTTCTTAACTGATTGAAAGGTGGCAGGGGCCTTGGTGAGCCGAAGGGCATGACCCTGAACTCATAAAGCCCTTCATGTGTTCTAAAGGCCGTTTTTGGGACATCTTCCAACTTCATTCTGATTTGGTGGTATTGGACTTTAAATCTAGCTTGGAGAATATTCTTGACCGATGTAATTCATCTATCACCGGTATAGGGAACTTGTCTTTTATAGTGGCCTTGTTGAGAGTCCGATAATCTACACTAAACCGCCACAAATTGTTCTTTTTCACCAGCAATATATAGGGTTGGCAAATGGGCTTCGAGATGGCTGAATGATCCCCGCGGTCAACATGTCTTGTAACAGTTTTTCAATTTTCTCTTTCTGAGCATGTGAGTACCTGTAGGGTTGAACCGACACAGGCTCAGTGCCTTTCTTGAATCTAATGGCATGTCTAAGGAGGGGTCTTCTTTAAGAGTAACTGCCTGCCCCTCTAGTTGGAACTTCATCACTTGTGTCTTCCAGTTTGTCGTAACAGGACCTAACTTTTCCAGCCATTGAATCCCCGTAATCACATTTGAATTTCCCAAGGTAAGCGGTAAAAAATCTTCCTGGATGTCCAACCCTTGTATGCGAATTAAAACTCCTTGGCATTTCCCTTTTCCTTCCACTGATTTTCCTGTTCCCAGGGAGAACCCAAAGCCTGGAGTGGGTATGATTGGGATTTTCATCATATGTCATCTTGGAGCCTATTAACAAACTGGCCCATAGTTATGTCATCTGGTAGGTTGCTTAAAGGGGCTAACTATTCAATAAAGGATCGTTGATACTCAATACCGACCCGACTTGCGTAAGGGATAACCATTGTTCGTAGATCGTACCTGCGTTCGTCCGACGAAACTGTCGGAGCAAAAGTTACTTCATCTCGCTCCACCATGTGACAGGACGTTGTTTGTGTTCCCACCGGAACCAAAGGAGTGCATCTCCTTCCAAGGCCACCAACGCCGCCTCCACCTTATCGGCCTCCGACAACTTGTTGTAGAAATTGAAGAAGCGTTCTGCTCTTAATATCCATCCATCGGGGTTTTTTTTTTCCATCAAATAACGGCATGTCTAGCTTTCGGAATCACCAGTTGGATCCACCGTCATAATTTTCACCCCCTGATCCTCCTCCGCTACCAGACCCGCCGCTGCTCTTTGGTGTTCCTTTTGGACTTTCGTCCCCTCCTCTGACGTTACCAGACTCAGAGATGGTGGTTTTGATGGTTTCTGTTGCAATAGCTGTAAATTTCTTGGTAAGCTCTTCCATCTGTGCTGAGATCTGAGTTGAGCCTTCAGATTCTCTTGTAAACTTGCCATGGTTTCCTTAATGGATTCGATTTCCTCCTCAACCACATCCACTCTAACCCCAATGACATCATTCTTGGGTGGAACCATTCTTCTACTTCAGGAAAGACGTGCTCTGATACCAATTGTAATGAATTTGCTTTGCACACAAAATAAGACACTCAAGATTACTGCTCTATTAACTTCTGGTAAGGACTGATAAAAAACAAGGCTGAATAAACAAGAAAGACAACAAGCAAAGCAAGAAAATAAGATAGATAGTAATAATGCGAGCTGCTACTGGTCTCCAAGGATAAGAAGCTTCCAATATTCTCTCATGATCCTTCATGCTGGCTCCACTACAATAAATAGGCAGGCAGTACATCACTTTTGTCCTTCATTCCCATTTATCCCCTGCTCCTCTACCAATCCTGTAATGTTTGTGTGACTAGTAGGGGTCCCCTCTTTTCTTGGAATCTTTTTTGATTTCTGCCTTTGGTATGTGAATTTCAGTGGTGGGTGCACCACACAAACAGAAGATAAAGGGATCCTGAGTTATCTGAATCTTTAATTTTAGAAGTAAGTATTGTATAGTTATGTTGCCAAGATTAGGAGGTTTTTCCTTGTTTATTCTTGCTCTAAATTGTGGCCCTCAAATGCAGCTTTGAGTTTATTTCTCATTTCTTATTGTTTCAGAATATGAGAATACTTTTCACTTATTCAAATGTTGAAGTATGTACTTTCATCAAGTTGAATTGTCAGCTTTGGTTTTTAGTGGAAAACTGGTGGGGAATGAGAAGCCATATTTGAATTATCTAAATCTTGTATGCTGTTCTTACTTATCAGGTTCTCCATTTTTCCGTGATGACACTAGGTTGCGAGCACTTCGCTTCCTGGACCACATGCTTGTACGTGCATGGAATTTATTTATATCATCTATTGTAAGCTTCTTAATTAAATATGCTTGCTTTTAAGATTTATTTTTTTCTTGGTTGCAGGCAAGAGATAATGTACAGAAGTCAGAGTTTCTAAAAGCACTATTGGACATGTGGAAAGATTTTGATGCTCGTGTTTTACGGTACAAGGTTGAAGTGTTTCCAGTCTCACTTTGTGCTTCATCTTTTAGCTGAAATTATGCCATGGGCTTTGGAATAAAATTGGTTACATAAGATAAAAGGGTATATAAACAGTTGTATGTAAGATTGTTTATACTTGCCTCTAGCAGTTGCTTTATTTCATTAGAGCAATGTGAATTCTGGCTGTTCTGTTCCAAAAGTAATGACTCCGATTTGGCCTTTTTCTTTTTCTTTTTCTAATAGTTCAATAAAAACAATCCATTTCAGATTTTCAGGTCTTTTTTAATTCGCTTTTGATATAGTTAAAATGATGAATGAACTTATTGTTTGTGTAGGTTCTTCCGCCTCTCTGTGCAGAGCTTCGGAATATGGTGATGCAACCGATGATTCTGCCCATGGTTTTAATGATAGCTGAGTCTCAGGTACCATATAGCTAATCGGTCATATGAGAGATTTTTCATTCAGCTTGTATAAATTCATTCTATATAAAATGTTTTTGAATTTGACACTTCACTGGGTGTGATATTTTTGCCTAATGTGTGACAGGATAAAGTTGATTTTGAGACATCAACACTGCCTGCTCTTGTGCCCGTCCTAACAACTGCTGCAGGTGAGACGCTACTGCTACTTGTGAAGCATGCAGAGCTAATTTTCAACAAGGTAACAAATTGGTATTATTATCATTAAGAGTCCTCAAGTCTTTCATTTGAAACACAGAACTTCAGAATGGCCATCTTCCTAATCCTCTTTGAGTGAAGACAACCGAATAATCATTCATAGGAACTTTTTGTCATCTCAATTCTCAATATATGGGAGAACTAAACTAGTGTGGTGTGGTGTGTTTATCCCTCTTCTTGCATTTCTGACCTTTATAGGAAGCTCATCAGGTGTCACACTGTTAAAACAATTCCATGGCTCTTGTTTGTATTTAGTGTATTATTTAAAATTTTGATTGAAGAACTTACTTGATCTTGTATGTCCGGCCTTTATGTTATTTGAAAGTCTTTCACCCTACCCAAGTGTTTTAATATTGCTGGTTTGGGTGTGTATGAATTATGATATTGATGGCAGGCTAGTCAGGAGCACTTGGTTTCTCATGTGTTGCCCATGCTTGTGCGAGCCTATGATGATACTGATGCTCGGATGCAAGAGGAAGTGCTCAAAAAAACTGTCTCCCTTGCTACAAAACTTGATCCTCAGGTAATTTTGCATCATTGGTTTTTGTTATTGGTAATTCATAAAGGATTATCAATATCTATGTATAGGTTGAAAATATTAGGTGATAGTGATAGCTGCAAACTAGATGTTTTCAAGCTTAGCATCTCTTGCCTGATTACGTCCCTAGCAAAAACCAAACATCTTTTCTTTAAATACCGGAGAAATGCACAAGTAATCTTAGGTGGTGTTTGTTTTTTGGCAAAAAGTATTTTTGACCTCTTCTGTTTGCGGGTGGAAAGACATTTGAGGAAAAGACTGTTTGTTTTTCAGAAGACAAGACATAAAAAAGTCTTTTTGACATCTTTTTCCAAAAGACAAAAAACATAGCTTTTGATTTTGGAAGACGTTTTCTAAGTTCTAATCCTATGTGATATTTCTTTTCCACCACCAATGCCGCCATCACCGTTGCCACCACCACTGCCTTCTGCCGCCACCTTCCCCTACCTCCGCTACCACCACCATCACTTCCACCACCACCACCACCACCATCGCCGCCAACACCAACACCAACGGTCTTTTTTTAATGAAGGCTTCAAAAAAAAAACAATTCTTTTTTATGAAAGACTAAAAAGTTTGGTCCACAATTTATTCCTCAGGCATGCAAAAAGACCAAAGACTTTTACCTCTTCAAAAACAAACACCGCCTTAGTGTTTCAGATGAGTAATTGATTAACATGTAAGTTATATACTGATCTAAAGGGAAGCTGAACAAACTGGTGAATTACAACTTGCACAATTCTTTTTTTATCTTTTCTGTTTTTAAAGTTGATATTTTTTCTTCTCTTCTGGTATTCCTTATCTCTACCTAATCTTTTCAGTTTTTAGAAGTTACCTATTCTGTTTTATTTTTTTGGTATTGCATCTCATTTTTAACTTCTTGTCTTGGTAATTTTGAACTTTTGTGGTAACAAATTTTTACTATTACTTGTAATTTTCTGTTATATGACATGTGATATGTATCGAGTGTGCTGCTTTAATACATGGTCTAATAGTCCATTATCTTGTATGAGCTTTCTGAAGGAATAATTTCGTCTAGTCAAGGATAACAGTTAAAGTCAAATATATATCTTAAATGGTGAACACCATTTTTAGGAACCTAATAAAGAAGAAAACCAATAAAAACTACCCTCACTCTTATCCATGGATTTAAGGAAACTGATAACTAGAAGGATCATAGCGATGCCAATGTTGCTCATATATATTTATAAGGTGCTTTACTTTGTAGGTAGGTTGCAGTTACGATATAAAATATAAGGCCTCTATTAGTATTAATCATCCTCCAAGTTTCATGTGGTAAAAGCAGTTATTTGCTTAATAATTGTTGGATAGGTTGTATTGATAATTTCATTGTTGCTTAGCTTTAGTTTTAGGTTTACTTGAAGAAAAAGAATCCATTAATGAAGCTTATATTATACTAACATACATGATGTATTTTGACTAAAATCCAGCTGGTGAAACAATCAATTTTGCCTCGTGTTCATGGATTGGCACTAAAGACGACAGTTGCTGCGGTATGTGATCTTTCTAACATAATTGACAGAGGGTGGTATCAGTTGAGATATAGTTAGTTAAATATGGTTTTTGTTACAATTTACAAAGACTTGTGAATTTGTAGAGATAGAGATGATTTACATGTGTATATATGTGGCAGGTGAGAGTGAATGCCTTGTTATGTTTAGGTGATATGGTTGTGTTACTTGATAAGCCAGCTATCTTGGAGATCCTGCAAACAATTCAACGTTGCACGGCTGTTGATCGTTCTGCTCCAACTCTTATGTGTACCCTTGGGGTAGCAAATTCCATTTTGAAACAGGTGACCCACCCACCCCCACCCCCACCACCACCACACATTTATTTCACTTATCACAATTCTATTCTATTCTCATATTTTCCCTCTGTGTGTGTTGTTTAGCATGGAGTGGACTTTGTAGTTGAGCATGTTCTTCCCTTAGTCGTGCCTCTTGTCCTTGCACAACAATTGAACGTTCAACAGTTTGCAAAGTACATGTCCTTTGTCAAGGGTGTTCTCAGGTACACCTATCCATCTATCTATCAATTTTTTTTTTCTTTGGTGTTGCAAAATGCAAGTGTAATTGTTGAATTACAGGAAAGTTGAAGAAAAAAAGGGAGTAACAATGAATGATAGTGGAGTTGATTTGAAGTTGCTTCCTGTTATACCTACTACTACTACTAGTACTGGTGATGGGGGTTTGAAGAAAAACATTCCAACTGCTTCATCCTCCTCCTCGTTAAGTAATGCATCATCTAGATGGGATGAAGATTGGGTGACAACAACAACAAGAGGATCCTCAATGGAACCTAAACCTTTAACTCAGCCTCCCAAACATGATGTCCAATTTCCCATGATCATGTCTACTCAGCAGCAGAAGCAAACACAAACACAAACACAAACATCATGTCCTCCAGCAGTTGAATTTGAGTGGCCCCATCAAGAGAAATCGAATACCTCCTCAAGTGCAAGCTTTGATGATTTAGATCCATTTGCAAACTGGCTTACACAGCCTACCAGTAATCATTCTTTGCCTCCTGCTACGAATGGTGTTGGTGGTCTATTTTTAACAGGTACAGAAAATCAAGTAAATAATAATTATAATACCAACTGGGGCAACAACTTGGACAGCAGTCCTAATGGGGGTTTCCCAAGATACAATCAGCAGGGTGATACATCATCATCATCCACAAGTTCTGGTCCCAAGGCCTCGGATCTTGGCTCCATATTTGCTTCAAGCAAGACCCCCCAGGCACTAAGACTTGCTCCACCTCCCCTGAATGCTGTTGGTAGAGGTAGAGGAGGAGGAGCTCAAGGGCAAACCCGTCCATCCCGTGCAAAACCATCATCTGAGCAGCCTCCATTACTGGATCTCCTCTAGTTGAGTCAGCATGTTCATATATTTTGTGATTGGATCAACACCTATCCCATGTTTTCAACCTTTCCTTCAATAGTTTGGCATACCTTTTGTAGCAGATTTTTTTTTTTTTTTTTTTGGGCATTCTCTGTATTTTTTATAGCATAATATATTTGCTTTATGTGTTGTGTGTATTACTACATTAGCCATTGACGAGTTTAGTTGCTAAAACTTAAAATTCTTTATATAAAATGTACCAGTTTATCGATACATGTTTCAAAATGTTTCATATAGTATTAATGTGACACAAGTAATCAGATTGGTTTCGTGGTTTTATGGAGCTTGGAGCAAATTGTTGATATGCTTTGCTGAAGCTTTGACTAGTTAAGTTTCAAGTAACAAATTAGGGTTAGCGACTCCTGTAACCCTACGGCTGAGAGGCTGCTAAAGGCATAATATACCTGTCATAAATAATGAATAAAAAAGGTGGTTTGCCACGAAGGGTGCTAAGGTTGGATGGAGAGGTGCTGCATTTGTTACGGTCCATGTAGGCGCCACGTTAGATTTGTCACACAACAGAAACTTACTACTTACATGGTATGGGTTGCCATGCTTGTCATGTTATTATTATTTTTTTAATATTTAGCATAAAGAAATCAATATAAATAAATTATTTTAATAAAAACTTAAATTTCATTAACTTAAAGAAAATCACACTTACACTTAAAAAACTTAATACATTTGAAATTAAACTAATAAACACTTTTTTTTGAACTACAAATATACTAAATTACTCATAATTTATTCCACCTATGCTCATTTTGGGACTTGAACCCTCAACTTCAAAGAGGGAAGACAACACCGGATACCGCTGGGCTAGAAACCCTTTGGTAAACTAATACACACTTACACTAAAAAAATATAACACACTTGAAATAAAAACTTAAATTAGAAGTCAACGTGTAACACCCCGTTCTGAATTGTTTCCTAATTCAGGGCTGCGGCCCGAAGATCGATTATCATAAGGCTTAGGGCATTTGGAAAGATCGATTACCCATAGTCTGAGGTGAGTCTTCCTTCGTAGTAGCCATGGGTCGAAGGCACAAAAACTGGCTTACTAGTTATGTTATAGCATGATGATTGTCTTTGTGATAATTGTAAGGCATGTCTATATTTGTATGATGACTCGGTGATTATTGTTATGATATTATGTGGTAGTAGTAGGGGTGAAATAGACCCGATATCTGGTTGGAATAGGCCGAAGGGGTAGGTGAGCACCCAGATATGCTTGGCAGTATCCGGTTGAGATAATCCGAAAGGGTAGGCCAACACTCAAATATGCTTGGCAGTATCTGGTTGGAATAGACCGAAGGGGCAGGCCAGCACCCAAATATTCTTGGCAGTATGTTTGTGTAGTATGTTTGATTGGTATGTGGTATGTTGGGGGAACTCATTAAGCTTTGTTCTTACAGTTTTCAGTTTCTGTTTCAGATACTTCTAGTTCAAAGGGGAACGGTCCGACTTGATCGTACCACATTACTGCATGTTTTTCCGCACTTAGTGATTTTGGGATTTGTACTCTGATATTATGATATAATGTGACTCTTTTGAATACTTTGGTATCAGTTTCTTATGAATGGAATGAATTTAAAAACATAATTTTTATCTGTATTTTTGGGATGTTACACCAATGGTATATTGGTAATATGTAAGTTCGAGCCTTTATGGATTTTGGATTGTAATTTGAAAAGCTTTAAGGCAAGGGTGAGTTGATAGAAGTGTAGAACTCTTTATTACCTTTCCGTGGATATAAAGAATGTCGACATCAGATATAGAATGAAGAAGTTATGGCTTCCGGAAGTTTGATGGTTTAAGAGCTAAGCCTAGTACGCTGGGCATACAAGGAAGTACACTGGGCGTACTAGGCAGAAGGATCGTGGGCACCTTATGGAGTACGCTGGGCGTACTCCAGCCAAATGAAAACCCTAATTTTTAGGGTTTTTGTCGTATTTAAAGACCTTAAGTCCCTCAAGTCCTTTACTCTCTCAGCCTCTATTGCCCTTTTAGTGCAGATCTTGAACACTAGCCTCGTTGTGTGCATTTTAAACTTGCCTTGAGTGTTTGTGGTGTTCTTTGGTGATTTTTAAGGAGAAGGAAGTTTGGGAGGAAGCAAAGGAGAAGAAGGAGCTTGAAGATCCAGAGCTTGTGCACTATTTCTAGCCTAGTGAAGGTATAAAGTTTGAATCTTGATCATTGCAAGCTTAGATCTAGGATTAGGGTAGGATATGACATCTTTTTGTCCCATTGTTTGGTATCTTGGAGTATGAGCAACTCCAGGCCATTTGAGCTGTCCTTTTGGACTATTGGGAGTGTTTTAAGTCATAAAACTCGGATCTTGGTCGTTAAGACTCAACCATGCATGTGTTAGTGACCATCCAAGTGAGTTAATGGACTTAATTCATGGTTTGAGCCCCATCCATGCATGCAACATCATAAATTTTGCAACTTTATGGCTTAAGACATTATTTTGAGCTTGGATCTAAGTTTTGGACGCAAATGCTGAATGGATTAAGACTTTGAAGTGAGAATGGGCTGACTGGCCAGTACACTGGGCGTACTCTAGAGTACGCTACACGTACGGGTCAGTGTTCCGACTTTGGATGAGCATCAGCGTACCAGCCATGTACGCCGTTGGGCTTTGGACTTGTTTAAGTTGGGCCTCAGACCCACTTGTTGTCGCACGCCATTTTTAGGCCTAAGGCCATGTTTGGTGTTCTTGGGCCATATTGGGCCTTGTAGTTAGGCTTGGATGCTTCTTGGGCTTTTTATGGATCTGGTCCTTAGGGGAAGGGAGGCCCATCGAGGCAAGAGTAAAAGAGCCCCTTTTTCCTTAAGTCAAGAATTAGGGTTTGGACCTTTGAGTTAAAGTGTGGCCTAATTTATAATTAGGGTTTTATGCTTGTGTGTTAGGAAGAGGATTTCATGAGTCATCTGCCGAGTGCGATTTGATATCTTCAGTCTAAGGTGAGTCTTCCTTCGCATAATCTATGGGTTGAAGGCACCAAGGCCGACCCATTATTTTATGATGTAGGGTGATGATTTTCTTTGTGACAATTGTCAGTTATGCCTATATTTGCTTGGTGACTCTGTGATTACTGTTATGATATTATGTGGTAGTAGTAGAGGTGAAATAGAACCAATATTCGGTTGAAATAGACCAAAGGGGATTGCAAGCACCCATATATGCTTGATAGTGTCCGGTTAGAATAGACTGAATGGGTAGGCAAGCACCCAGATATGTTTGACAGTATCTGGTTGAAATAGACTGAAGGGGGTAGGCAAGCACCCATATATGCTTGGCAGTATGTTTGTTTAGTATATGGTATGTTGGGGGAACTCACTAAACTTTGTGATTACAATTTTCAGTTTATGTTTCAGGTACTTCCAGTTCAAGTAGGAAGGGATCGACCTAATCGCACCGTATCACCCTATGTTTTCTACACTTACTGATTTTGGGGATTTGTACTCTTATAACATGTTACTATGATACTCTATTGACTAATTTGATATTAGTGTCGCGTGATTTGAATGAAATTAAAAACAAAATTTTATCCGTATTTTTGGGACATTACAAGTTGGTATCAGAGCCTTGGTTTGAGGGATTCGAGCGTACTCTCGGGTGTGCCTGGACTCAAATCGAGGGTTTGATAGGTTTGTTTCACAAAAGAAACATTTTAATCTAAGGATTTTTAATAAAAGACAAGGGGTGTGATGTGTGCAATCAACCGAGCTCAAGTAAGTCTTCCCAAAATACCCATACAAGTTATATGTTTTGTGCTAGATTATGGGCTAAGGATCTACTTAGAATTGCATGATAGAATGTTAGGAGAGATGCCTTTATGTACCTATCTGTATGAGCTTTTAGATTTGCAAACTAGTATCAGATCAATTACTTATTAGGATGACATGTATAGGGTATGTTTTCAGTCGAGTTACCTGATGCTCGAATGCTGCATGCTTTGTTCTTTAGGAAATTCTGTTGGTACTAGCTGACTAGTGGATGAATGCGTTGGGTTACATATTATTGCGATTGGATAATTTTAGAATGATAGGTTTAACTCTATTGCGCAAATATTGTTTGAGTCCAACCGTTGTAGTGTGGGACCTATCATTCAAAGGATTATATAGTCCTAGTAGTATGTAACTGTGTTCATGCAGTAGTTAGGTAGTATTTATAGAAGTTCCTTCTGTAGCTGATAGCAGAGAGGGGTGAGGAAGGGAGTCTTAGGGAGTCCCTATGGGATTCTTTGGTGTGTAGGACACCTTATAGTTTGAGAAATATATCAGTTGGGAAGAGTAACTTGGAGGAGTCGGGGTAGTCCTTGAGAAGGGTATAAATAGGTGTGGAAGGTAGTATTGCGCTCGTACTACTGAAAGCACAAGAATTCTATCCGAGACCAGGAAAAACACGGTGAATATAGGAAGTTGTGGGATGAGGAATATTTGGGTATCTATTGATTATGTGTATGATTGCTTTTCAGAATGGTGATTAGCATGCATGGAGGAGGTGCAGGTCTTGGTCCAGGCTCTGGTGATCAGCCGATTGGTGGAAAGGACATCCAGGGTACTAAGTTAGCGATGGATTGAGGAGATGGAAGGTGTCTTCCTCACTAGTCCCTATCCCATAGGAGCCATGGTTCAGTTTGACTTGGATCTCTTGCATCACGCAACAAGGAATTGTTGGAAATTGATTGCACAATCTATGACGCTTACTGAGTTGAAGACTATATATTGGGAAGAGTTTATGACCTGGTTCTGGGTGGAGGATGCACCAACTATCTTAGTGCAACTGTTAGCAAGGGATTTTGTGAGCGTGTCAGGGTGCAAGACCCCAAATGAAGGGATTGCTAGAGCCCATGAGTGGGAGATTGATTTACAGCACCTCGGGAAGAGGAAGGCAGACTCGTTTCAGACCGTAGTGGGCTAAGCGGTAAGGCCTGGGACTCAGGATTTGCGGTTGAGAGGCCAGCAGGGTGGGGGTCGTTGTGCCAAGTGTGGGAGGCTATCGGGAGATAAGGAGGAGGTGTTTCATTTGTGAAAAATGGTTCATTTAGGTAGGGATCGCCCTCGAGAATCAGTTTCGATATCCTTTCGCTGCAACCAAGTGGGCCACAAGAAGGACAACTGTTCGGAGTTGATGAGAGGAGCGTTGAGGACACGTGCTCTAGCTAACTTGGAGGATTACTGACGGTCGCGAGTGTAGAGTGGAGGTTCATGTGGTGAGGATCCGATCATTACAGT